AAAGTTGTTATTGAAAGTTATAGAGCTTGGAAATACCTTTCAAATGATGGGTCATATGTTAAAAAAGGTTAATTAGTTTAGTTGCAAATGAATTTAAACCATTAAAAGTAGCACTTCTTTAATTGTTTAATAACTTTGTTAATAATTATCGAATTTGTTCATAACTTACCGGGAATGTTCTCCTTGCGTAGCTGAATAAATCCCAAAAAAATTACATCAAATTTCGACTTTTTTCTTGGAAAGTACACTTAAGAAGTCAAACTTTCATCCTATTTAAATGGCCAATTGATTTTTTTTATCTAAGTGCATAATAAAAAGGGTTAAAAAAGAGTGTGTTTTTTTCATAAACAAATGGAATTACTAAGCCAATTTTCACTTTATCAATTAGCTATAAACGGTATATAATTCCATTTGTTTCCATAAAACTTTTCAAAAAAAAATGCTGAATCCAAATATGAATTTATATATTTTTTAAATGAAATATTTTTTGTAGAAATAAAAAAATTTTTTTTTAACAACAAATTTTTATTATTATTTATTATATTTAACAAAACTTTTTCTTCGTACATCTTATTTCATTTAATTTAAAATAATGTTATTAAAAAAAAAACTGAAATTATTTACCAATAAGCGTGTAGCATCGAGTTTAAGCGTTGTAGTGGCAAAATAATTATTTTTTATGGGTTAAAGTAATTTTATTAACTTTTTTTTTAAATAAGAACAAAGGTGTGTTATAAAAGAAACAATATTATCTTTTTTATTAAATGCTATTTACTATAAACATATTTTTAATCATAATGATAATGTTAAAATGAATGATGAGTGTATGGATGATTAAAAATATGTTTATTGTAAATAGTCCTATATAAGAAATCTCTAAACGAAAATCTCTCGAAATATCTCGAAGTATAGTAACGCCTATCCCATTGGTTGCTTTCACTCGTGAGCTATACTCAATTGGCTGAATTCATATTTTCTATCTTTGTATTTTAAACACTTGAAATAGAGAGGTTCATTCACTATACGAACATACATACTTACACATTAAAATAAAAGTAGTGTGCGTAAGAGGGCTATATTCCCTTTATCCAAATCTTTTTCATCATCTTCGTCTTTCAAGTACTTAAAAAAATAGTCTCAATCTATTTTGGAAATACGTTCGTGAAAATCGTTATCTTAATTAACGCGATTCCTTCAGATATATTATTGACGTAATAAAGTGATTTAATCCAATTAAATAAATTATAAATTAATAAATTATTATTGATAAGAAATTATTTAGATAAATATAATTGTTAAATAAATTTAATTGAATTAATTTTTAAATGATTAAGTTTTATATATTTAATTTATGTAAATAATATTAATATTTAATTTATTCTAATATAAAATATTTAAAATTGTTAAAATTAAATGTTAGAAAATGTTATGAAAGATTAAATTCAATATAAAAATTTTATACATATTTTAATAACTAATAAAATAATTAATTTTACTAATGTCTTTCATTGCAGATAATAAAACGTATATTTATCTGCTTCATCTAAGAAGTGTGTATTATCTATAAATTTAAAAAGATTAATTCTAAAAGAAATTATTAAAGAAATACATAAACTAACAGAGAAAAGAAGGTCAGAAGAAACTGACAACATTAATAATAAATAAAAGTGTTTGGTTATTAAAAGAATTTTATTATTATATAACGTTTTGAAATTAATAATAATTATATTATTGATTTAAAATAAAATATACACTACAGTCAGAAATTGTCGGTACGAACGACGGGCGAGCTAAGAAAAATTGCTGCTGAAATTAAATTAACATAGTTTATTGTTACAAAATGATAGAAACTTGGTTCTTAGATTGTTTGAAAGCCTATTAAATTCCTTTGACTGATATATAAATAAATATTATTTTATATTTTTCAGAGATTTTATCACCTAAGATATTTAAAAAAAAATTGATTAATTTTTCAATTTTCGTGTAATATGTTTGTGTGGCTGCACAGTCTAGAAAAATAGGGAGCAAAATTAAAAACTCTTATAAAATAACATAATCATTATAGTCTCAGCTTTTATTTAAGTCATCTTTGAAATTAAAAATTTATTCAACAGTTTTTGAAATATATAAAAAATATCCAAGTATGTTTTTCTAAAATTTGATTTGATTCCGAATCCTCTAAACTGAATGCATATTTTTCTCTTATATATGGTATAAAAATTAATACTCTTCACTTTAGAGGATTTTTCTCTCGCATATTATTTACTAATTACGATTATGAACTTATGAAGGAAAGTTAATTTGATGCACTGAATTAAATGTTTTTAATTAAATAAATATAATTAAAAACTAATAGTTAATTACTTACAATTATTAATATATTTATTCCTTTATTTATTTCATTTGAATTCAATTTTTCTGACATTTGAACATCAAAAAATTGTTTTGTTCTATTATTAACCACCAAAGAATAAAAATAATATACATTAAATTGGAATATTTTCCTTTGGAGAAGAAAACTTTAGAGGATATTAGAAGAGGATTTTTTCTTTAACTATGAGATTACTCTTTTAGGGTGCACGAAATTAGAAAAATTAATCAATTTTTTTCAAAATGTCTTAGGAGATAAATCTCTCAAAAATATAAAATAATATTTATTTACATATCAGTCGACGCAGAATTTAATAGGCTTTCAAACATAATATTTTTAAACATATTTTTTGTTTAAACCAAAACAGAAAATACATTATAATTAAATATAATTATTCAAATAAATAATACTTTTGAATGAAAGCAGTAGATATTTTCTATATATTGGGATTTAACTTATAAACTAATTTCAATTACAAAATCATCTAAAATTATTTTTGTATTTGAATTAAGTATAATGTTTTCTTAGTGAAGTAGCTATCATTTTCCAATAATAAACTATGTTAATTTAAGTTCAGCAGCAATTTTTCTTAGCTCGCCCGTCGTTCGTACTGACAATTTCTGACGGTATATTGTATTTTAAAATTTATTTATTATTAATTTTTTTATTATCCTACAATTTTTTTGTTATAAATAATTATTAATAAGGGTGTCCAGCGGTCAGGGAAGTCAGGGAATTTTAATCAAAATCAGGAAATTTTTTAAAATTTCATGAGAAATCGATTTTTTTTATTTTTTAAATTTTTAGTCGACCAGATACTTGAATGAGTGAATCACTTTCGTTTATTGGTTCTCTTTCATTTTTGAAATCATCATCAAAAGGCTTTTCTAATTTGGAAAACTTTGTGAAAATGATTTTAATTTTATCTTATGGGAACGCGGCTTTAGATCGTGGTTTTTCAATAAACAAATAATTAGATTATTTTATCTTTGCTTTTTTTTAGATTTTATGTGTGTAATATTTTGTTTACAACAAAAGAAGGTTTATAATGATGATAAATAAAGTGTTTAAGTTTACTATCATAAAATTACGTTAATATTTACCAGCTCACATAATTTTTTTTGTTAAAGATTTGTTATAAAAAAGGGAAGAGAAGAGTCAAGGGAAAGTCAGGAAATTTTTTTCTTAGTACTTGCATGTTTTATTTTCAGTTTAATTCCACTGATTCAAATCGCGAGAATAAAGTCACTGATTCTTAGTCAAATTTCACTAATCTTAAGTAGGAATTTAATTCAGTGGCGTAGCAATAGGTGGTTTGGGGGGTTAGATTGTCCGGGGCCCCGGCGATTTAGGGGCCCCCAAAAAGGATAAAATTGATTTTCTTCATATGCAGCAAAATGGTAATAAACTGGTTCCGAGTTTTAATGTTTGTTATACTTCTAATAATAATATACTTAATAACTTATATATAATAAGATGCGATCAAAGCAAGTGCGATCTCTGACCAAAATCTATTATGGCACGGTCACAGCTCGGCAGCCGCAACTAGAGCAAAATACGTCGACCGAAAGCAGAAAATCATGAGTGCAAAAGAGATAGGCAGATATTTTTGTTCTTTTCACTCTCATGATTTTCTGCTTTCGGTCGACGTATTCTGCTCACATGTGATCGCACCCTTACTCTTATGTGTTACCATGACAACCTGCAGGCAGGCACCTTTAATTCGCACCTGTTCTCGTCTTTTTGCACTTATTGTAGACGTTCTATTATACATAATATGCGATTTGCAAAATGTCGTATCACGCAATCACAGGTATATTTAGGTATGTAACACACTTAAAAACCTCTAGTTTTCCTGCACTACCCAACCCTGTTCATAGGCTGCGAGGTGACATTACCTTGTGTGTGTCGACTACAAATTCAAGTATTTTTAGTAAAGTGCACTTTAATAATATAACTTGCGAATTATTTGTTAATAATATATAGGTAAATGTTATTGATTCAATTGTTTACTTCGATTATTTAGATATTTTGAGTTTTCTATGTATTTATATGTTTTTTTTATAATTTATTTAACTATTTTACAACATATAAAATATAACCTCACAACTCATAATATAAGGTTTATTTTGTTATACAATTGAAATTATAATGGTCACATGAGCGAACAGAATATCAACAGTTCAGTTTTAAAAATATTTGTTCATCTTTACGAATTTATATATTTTAATAACATTAGCTTAAATTTGTTATTTGCAATATCTGAAGTTTAGTATTTTACATAAAAGGTAACAAATGTATTAATATTAAAAATGCAATAGTATAAACATATCAATATCAAAGGAAAATAGACTATTATTAATTATTATCATTTTTTATTTAGGGGTTACGTCGAGCAATTCTCCATTGTTAAATGTCACCATGTAATGCTGAAAATGTAGCTAGTGCAATTTTTTCTGACATGATTTCATCGATTATTATTGTTTCGTTAAAATAACCTATGATAAACATTGCATCTGATATACGTAATTCCATAGTAGGAAATAAGACGTACGTTAACAAATTGAATCCATTTGGTTAACTTATTTTATTATTGTCTTAAAAGAAGAATTCGCAATTGATATTTAAAATGAGTAGCAGTAAACGTATTTATCCGAGCGGTGCAAAGAAAAGAAAACTAAAGAGTGAAATAGAAGCATCTATCAAAAAACTAAATCCAATAACATCTTTTTTGAAACCATACTCAAATGAAATTGAAAGTCAAATTGAAAATGATACTCATACTAATAATCTTCAAGATACTTCAAATTCTATCAAAAATAATAATTTAGTCACTGAAGAATCGATAGAAGTTTCCAGCACTGTGGCCAGTGGCTCAGATATTGCAAGCAATAATTATGAAAATATATCTATAATCAATAATGAAGAGAATAAATTTCATGTCCCTAACCTCCCATGGGTAATTGATTTGTTGTCGAAGCCGAATCCAACAGACAAAGGACATTTTCCTGAAATTTTAACTGCAGATCATAAAAAGTTTGTGATTTCTAACGGTTCATGTCGACCTGCAGGGCCTTTTCCTAAGAATAAGGAAACAAATTCGCATTTTTCATCGTATTTTTACGAAATGACCAATAAAGCTGGAGTTAAAATTCCTAGAACTTGGTTATGTTACTCGATGATTCTTGATTGTGCTTATTGTGAAGCATGCTGGTTGTTTGCAGATAGAGGACAACCCAATTTTCAATTGACTTGGATCGATGGAGTGAGTAACTGGACGAAATTAAGCAATAAAATCAAATTACACGAAAGCTCAAAGATTCATTTTGATGCATGTATTCTGTTTGAATTATGGCGAGACAAAAAGAATATTAATAATTATCTTGAAGAACAAACATTAAAAGAAAATAACTTTTGGAGAAATGTTTTACACAGGATTATAAATGTAATTTTAACATTATCAACTTGTAACCTTCCTTTTAGAGGCCATCGAGAATGTATAGGAGACATAGGTCACAACGGTATCTTTTTATCAATAGTGGAAATGCTTGCAATTTATGATCCAGTTTTAAAAGAACTCATTTTGAAACCTGAGAACTCGACACGATACTTGAGTCCACAAATTCATAATGAGTTAATTGATTTGTTATCTAAAACTGTTAAAAATAAAATCACTAATGCCATTAAAGAAGCACCTTTCTTTTCTATAATAATGGACACAACACAAGACATCACTAAAGTTGATCAACTTAGTCAAATATTCCGCTACGTACAAATTGAGAAAGATCAAACAGGAAAACCAAAGAAGATTAATGTCATAGAATCGTTTCTGGGTTTTGAAAAAGTGGATGATCAAACTGCTGCTGGATTAGTATCTAAAATTATTACTGGAATAGAAGCAAAAGGGATAAATATTCATAAATGTCGTGGACAAGGATATGATGGTGCGCGAGTTATGAGTGGGATTTATACTGGAGTTCAAAAGAGAATTCTCGAAAAACAAGATAACGCTACTTATGTACACTGCTGTGCTCATAACTTAAATTTAGTCCTTAACGATTCAGTTGAAGGAATATCAGAAGTCCGAAACTTTTATAATTGGATTGAGTCCATATATGTCTTCTTTGCTAATAGTATCAAAAGGTGGGACTTATTATCATCCTTCTTACAGAAAAATGAAAAGCATTCTGCATTAAAACTTAAACGTCTTTGTCCAACTCGGTGGTCTTCAAGGGATAATGCATTACAAGCTATTGCTTTTCGATATAACGACATTGTGCAAGCTTTATCAAAAATTATTTTGATCAGTAAATCTACGGAAGAACGAAACAGAGCACAGAGTTTGAAAAAAGAAATGGAGAAATTTGAATTTGTTTTTCAAGTGATTCTGCATTCCAAAATATTGACAACAACAAATGCGGTTTCGAAAACTCTTTAAAAATTAGATATTGACATTTTTCAAGCGACTTCGCTGCTAATGCAAGCTCATCAAGAACTAAAAGAATTTCGAAACAGCTATGAAACTGCAAAAAATAATGCAATTATTTTGAGTGCTAATTGGAAAGTAAAGGTAGAGTTTAGTAAAAAACGCGTAATGAAAACCAAAAGACATTTCGACGAATTGTGTGAAGATGAAAGACTTACTGACGGGGAATCACGATTCAGAGTAAATATTTTTTACAAATGCTTGGATATTATTTGCACACAACTTTCTAAACGATTTGCAGGTTCGTATAACATTACTCCTTTGTGTGAAAATTTTAATGTTTTTTGAAATTAAATGCAGGAATGTATTTCAGGTTTGAACGAGATAACTAGTACTTTCCGAGTTATTCAGCCTCAACAATTAATACAAATGACGGATCGGGATTTGTACAAAGAAGCACAAAAACTTCTTTAAAAATACCCAGAGGATATTAGTGACATGTTTCCTGAGCAATTAATCACCTTGCGAACTTGTCTCAAGGATAAAATTACTAAACTTAACTCAATTAAGGAACTAGCGAATCTTCTGATAATTGAGAATGCTGCTTTATCTACCAGTTTTCCAGAAGTTTGCACAGTTTTGATTTTGTTTTTGACTATTCCTGTTACAGTTGCTTCGGCTAAACGGTCATTTTCTAAAATGAAATTAATAAAAAACTATTTGCGCAATAGCATGTCTCAAGAGCGCTTAAGTAATTTAAGTATTCTCTCTATTGAATACAAACTTGCTAACGATTTACGAAACGATCTTGATACAATTATAGACAATTTTGCTAAAACAAAAATTCGCAGAAAACAAGTGTAGAACTTAAAATAAAAAAGTTATTTTTATTTTATATATATATATATATATATATGCGTTTCATTGGGGGCCCCTCGAACTTTTTTGTCTAGGGCCCCTTAACTTGTAGTTACGCCACTGAGGAATTTCACTGATTCTGATTAAGAGAGTAAATTTTAATAAAATTAGGCCTAATTTTTGATGATTTTGTTCGTATTACTTCATGTAATAAATGTTTTTTATAATAAACAAAATATGATCATTTATTTTATATAAATATGTCTATTTTTTATAAATTATGTTTAATTATTTGATTTTTTAATTATGTTTTAAAAATTAATTTTTCATCGTCAAACTCAAAACACTGTTGGCGCGCGCTTGCGCGCGCAATTTGTCGTCTAGTATTTAATAAAAAAGATAATATTGTTTCTTTTATAACACACCTTTGTTCTTATTTTAAAAAAAAGTTAATAAAATTACTTTAACCTATAAAAAATAATTATTTTGCCACTACAACGCTTAAACTCGATGCTACACGCTTATTGGTAAATAATTTCAGTTTTTTTTAAATAACATTATTTTAAATTAAATGAAATAAGATGTACGAAGAAAAATTTTTGTTAAATATAATAAATAATAATAAAAATTTGTTGTTAAAAAAAATTTTTTTTATCTCTACAAAAAATATTTCATCTAAAAAATATATAAATTTATATTTAGATTCAGCAGAAAAAAATACATGGAATTAAAAAGAAAAAGATTAAAATCGGTCAATAATTAACGAAGTTATGACCATTTTTGTGAATTTGACGGCTGAATTCTGTTTGTGGCGGGCGAAATTCCCGCGTACCGAGTTCCCCCACTCCGCCGTCCAAGGGTTGAAAAAAATATTCAAGTACTTTCACTTGATATAAATGAAAAATAAAAACACAAAACGTTAAGTTTAATTTTTTTTCATAAAATACATGTTTTGAACTAAAAGTCGTGCGAGTTTCAATAAAAAATATTAATAATTAACTTGTCAGGAATTTCTTTTAAAAAAAAGTTAACTCCCCCCCCCCCTTCAAGTTAGGTCGGATTTTTTTTTTGAAAAGTTTTGTGGAAACAAATGGAATTATATGCCGTTTATAGCTAATTGATAAAGTGAAAATTGGCTTAGTAATTCCATTTGTTTATGAAAAAAACACACTTTTTTTTAACCCTTTTTATTATGCACTTAGATAAAAAAAATCAATTGGCCATTTAAATAGGATGAAAGTTTGACTTCTTAAGTGTACTTTCAAAAAAAAAAATCGAAATTCGATGTACCAAAAGTGGGAAAATTCCGTTGAAAAATTACATGTTTTTAGTTAACAAATGGAATTATGCATAAACTATTCCTCCGATTTGATATTTATTCCGATTTGGAATTTATTCAGCTACGCAAGGAGAACATTCCCGGTAAGTTATGAACAAATTCGATAATTATTAACAAAGTTATTAAACAATTAAAGAAGTGCTATTTTTAATGGTTTAAATTCATTTGCAACTAAACTAATTAACCTTTTTCAACATATGACCCATCATTTGAAAGGTATTTCCAAGCTCTATAACTTTCAATAACAACTTTTTCCCCTAAAACTTAACCGGAAGCAACAAGCATCGAAAAACGATGTTTTACTTCTATTTTAATTCTTGTAAACAATATTTTAACGAATAGATGAATTATGTTTGTTTTGTTATTATTTCTAATATAGGTATTTGTATTTTGTTCATACTTTCTTATAAACATTATAATTGTATTTTGTTATCACGAAGGGATAAATTGTGACGAAGTCGGTTCGTCACACTTTCCTTTACCAAAGATATTTTATATAAAAACACATGTATATATATATTTTTTTAATTAAATAGTCTGATGAAATAGAGAGTACGATATTAGTAGGCAATTCTAAAATATTTTGTGACCAATGTTTAAACCTATTTTTTACACGATTGTTAAATTGAGTTAGATTCAAAAGTTGAACCGAAATCAAAATTAGATCCTAATATGCCAGACAGTCGAGAGTCACTATCATAGGAAATTACTTGAAACTTTATTAAAGAATCTCCTACTTGGATATCTTTACCACTAGTTACTAATGTTGCACTTCTAAGAACGTAAACCTGAGATCTGTCTATGCTTGCGGAGGAAGCCAATTCACTTTCCCTTATCAAATTAATTGGTAGATTAATATCTACAATTAAACTTCCTTCTAATATTTTAATTGTTGTGATATTATATTAATAAATGAATAAGCGTATTTCGACGTTCCAAAAATGCAAAATATGATGACATTTAATAGAATTATGAAAATTTACTCTAATTTCTCAATTAAATTTGTTTTGAAAAGGCAATTATTTTAACAACTTCAGGATTTTTGATTATTATCAGGAAAATAAATTTATACAAAATTTAAATCATATAGCTATATTTTTAAATAAGCAATACGATATACATTACTCGTAATATTTATTTTACTTTTTCTTATCTAGAATTTCTTGAGCTTTGTTTAATAAAATTTCAAAAAAATTAAGAAAATTCTTGATTTTAATTAAAAGTTTTTAAATTTAACTCATTAGGTACATTTAATTGATTTTTTACTTGATTTGCTTTAGAATTTGTAAATCTTCGTTGAGCCTTTGAGCCTCTACGTTTCTTAATTTTTACAATTTTGACATCAGGACTGTCACTCATGCTTTGACTTAACTGTAAGGAAAAATATGATGCACTATAGAAAACTGATTTTTCTTATTATTTTATTTTTGTAAACTGTTTATTTACGTATGTTGTTGATTAATTTAATAGAATTGGTAAGGAAAATACTTGAAAACCCTAATAGACAAGTTTGCCGAACGGCATAAAATGTCTATTGCAGCATGTAATTTGTCGAACGGCATAAGAACAGTTCTGATAAGGCTTTAAAGAATTTTTTAATGGAAATATATATTATTTTAATAATCAAAGAATTCCAGCTTGACAAATTTGCCGGACGGCATAAGATGTCAATTTAGTACTGCAGTTTGCCGAACGGCATAAAAACAATACCTACTGAATTTCCTGTGACTAATAAAATTAGGGAATGTTATTAACAAATAAAGATTGCAAGCTTAACAAGTTTGCCGAACGGCATAAAATGTTATTTATAGAAATGTTATTTGCCGAACGGCATAAGAACACTTCCAGCTATGCAGTCTTTAATTTGTTAACACGGAACGGACAATTGTTTTTATTAACAATGCAAAGAATGTAGCATGACAAGTTTGCCGGACGGCATAAAATATCAAATGTCGAATTGTAATTTGCCGAACGGCATAAGAACAATTCCAGCCTCACTTCTTAACTATGTTAATAGGATGTGTTTTTGTTTTGTTTTATTATTATTATTTTTTTTTTGTTAAGAAAAAAACTATAAAACAATCAATTTAAAATAATTTTACAAGAAAGAAAACAATCCCACCGCTGCCACCAAATCAGCTGTTACATCCCGAGCGGAAAGCGAGGTTATTTTGAATTTTAATTATTATTTATTTTATTTCGGATGAATGGTAGGCTGATTAAGTCAAGTAAAGCTTGACTATTTATTTTTATGTGAGTACGTTGTTTTCTATCGATCCTGCGGGGGTCGTCTTACAATTATTTCAAATTTAATTGTTAGATAATTACCTTTTCTTTAGCATTTTAGGATATTTAAGAAATTTAACTCTAAAATTTAATGATTTTAAATTTTAAATGAAATATTTATTATATTTGATTACAAGAAAGAATGAGGTGTATAAATGTTGTTGTGTTTAAAATGTTAATCCAATTTGTTTAAAATATAAACGGTACTTACAATTACCTCTGTTCAGAGGGCAGATTCAAAGATGATATTTTGACCAGGAATATAATTCTTATAGTCGTTGACACTGTGAGGTTTTACAACTCTTAAAAAAGAACGGTCGGGACTTTGTCACAGTTTTTAGTTCTTATTTTTCGAAAGCACACACGTCACGTTTGCAATTCGTATCTCGAAAATAGACTAGTTTACGACGGATAATCTATTATTTAATTTTGAGAATACCGACTTACAAGTCTGGCGATAATAAATACTTGCTCAATATTTTAGAACAACGAGTAAACTTTATACTGTTTGAAAATGCAAGGTTTACGG